GCGGCTTCGCAATATTTCTTGTTTATTTTTGGAAAATCAGGAAGAAAGCTCTCCATTAGTTGGAGCCAGCAACAAAGTGCGTAGATCCTCGAGGTGCAATAGGGTGACGTTTTTGGTGAATTGTTCTTGCTCAAAACAGGTGTAAGGCGCATAAGCAGCTTGCAGCAGCTGCAGCCGCCGTCTAAATTTGGACACCCAGAAATCAGCACAAGCAAACTTGCCGGCTTCCCTCGATTTGATCTGGCTGTGATCAATCATGTCGCGCTGTGTTTGCCCTGCAAGCGATTGGCTGCACGTGATACGCTGTGCGCAGTAAAACGAGCCTTATTATCTGCGCATGATTGTTTGCTTTCAAACTCCATTCTTGCCTTTCTCCCTCTTTCTCCACCAACCCACTTTCTTTTTAGGATAACTACTGAAGGTCAGGTTTTCGTTCGCATGCCCAGACCAGCACGGAAGGCTGCCGCAAAGGCCAAGGCGTCTGCCAAAGCCCCAAAACTAGCACAACGCATCAGCACACACAAGGAAAATGATTCGCCAGCAGCTGATGAGAAACAGACCAAACGCCAGCTTCGTTCTCGCACAACACCGGCAGCAGCAGCAGCAGCAGCAGCAACATCGGCAGCAGCAAAAACAATGCAAGCTGCTAATGCCACACCAAAGGGCAAGCGCTCAGCTCTGCAAGAGCTGGCTGAGGCTTCGCCAACCAAAAGAGCCAGCATCGATCCACCACTGGGGACTCCAAAGTCATCTCCGGCGTACGGACGTCGTAGCAGCATGATGCATCGCCTGTCAGCTTCTGGAAGCCGCCGGCGTCTGTCTGGCGAAAGCAACCTTGTATTTGACGATTTGATCGATGGGTTCTCGCCCATTAAAAAGGACGGACCAGTTGAGGATTTTGGAGACATTGGCGAGGAAGAGGATTTGGTTGATGCTGAGGAAGTTTTATCGGTTAGGCTTGATTCGAGCAAGAATGATGAAAGCGATGGCGAGAATGGCCAGCCACTATCCAGCGTCGATGCAGGTGCCCGCGATGCAACTAACAATACCAGTGCAGCTTCCCTTGCTGCTAAGGGAAGCCGCGATGACGAAGAAACCATGGAATCAGAAGATGTGGAGGTTTCAAGTAGCTCCGGTCATGACGAACCTCAGGCAAACGGCAAAGATGAGCGAGCCGAGGTATCGTCTGATGAATCAGAAGACAGCGACGGCGATCTGTTTGACATCGACAAGCTGGTTGCCAATGTCGCCAACAAGCAGAGCAAGGCAAATGGCAAGCAGCGTGGACCAAAACCAGCAAAAGATGAAGAGGATGCCAGCGCCCAGCTGCCTAGACGCCACAAGACAGGCAAAACAGCAAAGCCGAAGAAGCCCGCTAGTGCTAAACTCAAAAACGCACCGTCTGGAAATAGGCGGCGAACTGCTACAGTGTCAATGGCAAGCGACACAGAAGGAGAGGGCGACGCTAGCGATGACGCAGACGTATGGAAGCCAAAGACGCCGCCAAAGAGCAAGGGCCAGAAGCGCGGATCCAGGGCAAGCACTAGCAGCAAGACACCCGCCAAATCAAGCGGCCCAAAGAGCAAGACTGCTGGCGGTAGCGGCGCCCGTGCATATGGCAGGAAATCGGCAAAGCAGTCATCCACAGCAGCTTTGCATCCGACCCCATGGCCTGCTGACCCTACGGTTGCCAGGTACTTTGATGAAATCGACGACTTTGAGCTTGCAGAGGAGGTGGTTTGACAAGCCTCTTGCCATCCCGACATGCAGATGCTGCAGCAATGCCCGGCTCATATTTTTCGTTTGCCAAGCTTTTGTGCAGTGGTTGTCAGGCGATTTGCATACAGGCCACTGCGATTATCGTGGCAGGCTGGCGAGATTATCGTTCCTCTGCTCTGGTCGATCGCAAGATTTTTCAAACCACGAAGATCCGTGTTTGCATCGCTCACTGCTTTCTGAGGAACTACAGTGAACGGTTTCTTCTTTTGTCTAGCTTGACATTCGAAATCAAAGCTCTGCTCATTCATCCTTCTCCTCTGCTCTTTCTCGCTCTTTCTCTCCATCTCCTTCAGAAAAAAAGATACATGTACATTTAAAAAGACAAACCTTGGCACGGTCTTCTCTGCTGTGGATATACGTTCTTCACCGTTTGATTCAAAAACATGCATGCGAACAGCGCAGTAGAGCGCACTCCAGACAAGCGCGACATTGCCGTTGTTGCCTGCTGTTCTGTGATGATGTTTGTGACCTTTCTGATTCTGATATACGTCAACGTCAACCGCTCATATATCCCGTTTAAATGCAAAAACATACCGTTGATCAACGTCTTGTTCGTCTCCACGCTGATGCTGCTTATTGGCGATGTGTATGTAAACCATTCATCTCTGCTGTATACCAACCGGCCGATATGCATTGTGACAGTCTCCTGGCTGCGCATCAGTTTTGGAATGTACAATGTTGTGTGCTGCTACACGTTCCGTGTCTACGAGTATATCTGCATCTTTCGGTGGAAAGTTAGAGCAACTGGCAAATACCTATGGATACCGCTTGCACTCTGGGTTCTAATCCCGCTGATATACGGCATCCTTGCTAGCACCTTGCCGCCCGATTGGGGCATTGGATATGACGAGGATACGAGGATATGCACTACTAGCAGGCCGCTTTACTTGATGGCCGTTGCCTTCATAATTATTTTGCTGCTGGTCCTTGGCTACGCTACGTTTGTGGCACGTAGGCTGAACTCGTGTTTTAACGAGTTCCGTGAGCTTTTGCCCATGATCTTCTATACCCTAACAGCGATGGTTGTCCAAGTTGCCTTCCGTTGGATCCCAAGTATTGGCCGGAACACGTTTATATACAACACGCTGGTTACTATGACTGATTTGTTTGTCGGTCAAGTCAGCTTCTATGCATTGGTTGCAAGGCCTGTGTATCACTGTATTGTTGATCGCGAGGAGTATCTCAACTACTTTATGTACAAGCTCAAGCAAGAGAACCTTGAACAGGAATATGAGATGGCCAACGGCGAGCACATGGTCCACACTAACAGCCGCATGCGCATGGCCACTGCCAGCACGCCGCAAAGCAACAGCTATACAAAACTGAACATGGTGCCTACAAACCCGCCAGACACCTCCTATTATACAAGGGCCTCTGAAGCGCTCTTCCAAGAGCCAAGCCGGCGGGTTGTGTAATTTACTTGTCCATAACAAATAAATGATTGGCGTTAGACCCCCTACTGCAAACCGGCATGCTGAAAGAGCGCTTTTTCGGCATATATCCTTCTTTTTCTTCCTTACTTGGCACCAGTTCTATACTGCTTTATATATATCCCGCTGCTGCAGTACTAGCGAAGAGGAAGCCCATGGCGGAGAGCATGCTGGAAAACGAGGAGTTTGATGTGGTGGTTCTGGGTACTGGTTTAGTGGAATCGATTGTTGCCAGTGATATTGCAGCAGCTGGCAAGAAGGTCTTGCATGTGGACAAGAACCCTTACTATGGCGGCGGCTATTCTTGCTTCTCGTTCTCGGCTTTTATGAACTGGGCAACTGATCACCGTGATTCTAGACAGATTCCAAGCGTGGATATATGCATTGGCGAGGGAGAGGCTAAACTTGACCTGTCGCTTGCTGAACAGAAAAGCGACAGCTCCCTGGGTGAGCACGCAGAGTTGCTTGCAGCTTTTAAGGATAACAAGCAGCATGCTCGAGCTGTAGAACTGCTGGGAAGTATTGCGCCTTATATTAAGAACAAGGATCAGCCATTAAGCGAAGCAGCTGTAAGCAGTGCTTTGGAAACGCTGGCCAAGCTACTTGATGCCGACAGAAAGTACTCTATCGAGCTTGCACCCAAGCTGGCTCTTTGCCGTGGAACTCTGATTGACTTGCTTATCGACGTGGGCATTGGAGAATACGTTGAATTCAAAGGAGTTGAGCACAACTATCTGGTGCGCGATGGTGGGGTCGAGCGAGTTCCTGAATCGAAGGAGGAAGTATTTGCTAGCAAGTCACTAAAGCTCATCGACAAACGCAAGCTGATGAGGCTGCTAACTACGATGACCGATGAGGAAGAGTACGCTGGAATTGTTGCTGGCAATGCAGATGACGACTTCCGCTCGTTCCTTCAGTCAAAATTCAAGCTCGACGGCATGCTCCTTGATGCTGTTCTATTTGCTGTAGCAAGAGCAGCCGGTTCTGGCGAACTGAACGTCCGCGAGGGATGTGCTAGAATCCAAAAGTACACCAGGTCCATTGGCCGCTATGGACGCATGGCATACCTGTGCTCTATGTATGGCGGCGGCTCTGAGCTTTCACAATCGTTCTGCAGACAGTGTGCTGTCTCCGGAGGCACCTATATACTCGAAGAGGCTGTTGGAGCCATACAGCGTACAGATGGCAAATACAGCATCGGGCTGTCGCATGGGACAGTGCGGGCTAAGGACATCATCATGAATCCCACATACGCCACCAATGCCCAGCCATCCAAGGACACGCTGCCTGTCTCACGGTCTTTCTGCATCTTTGACAAGCCGATCCTGGGCGATGACACAACGGCACTTCTGAGCTTCGTTGGTGAGGTTGGAGTCGTTTCGCTCCTTTACCTGACCCACGCAACGATGGCTGTCCCCAGAGGACAGAGCATTCTATACGCCTGGACAGAAGGCACGTTGGCCGACAAACGGGAGCTTCTCAGGCAGGCAACGGAATCAGTGCGCTGCAGCGGTGGTGGGGCTGCCCTGCTGTCCGCATTCTTTGAGTCGCAGCCGCTAGGTGCAGCGGACGACGGCACCGAAGGCATTCTGTACACATCAGCCCCCGACAGCTCTGTCGACTTTGACAGCACAGTCGAGCAGGCACAGGCAATCTTGGACACTTATTTTCGAAGCTAGCTAGTTTAGACGTCTTTAATCAACGCACACCACTCGAGCCGCGCAAAAAAAAAAAAAAAGGGAGAGGGAAAACAGCGAATAAAGCAGGTCACAGCTCGTGCAAAAAAAGAGATCCGAGAACCCGGAATTGAACCAGGGACCTAGAGATGACAGCCAAGCCTCGGTGAGGCTTCCTACAGTCTCCCGCTCTGCCAGCTGAGCTATTCTCGGTGTGCTCACTACAGGGGTCGAACCTGTGACCTACGCGTTATTAGCACGTCGCTCTAACCGACTGAGCTAAGCGAGCATTGTTTCCAGGCCACGTCGGGCCCAGCTGATTTTGGATTTTTTTGTCTCTGGTCGCTCCGACATCACGTGAGGTCGATTTGCTTTGGGCCGCTCTTTTATCCATCTTCGCTCTGGGCGGCATTCTGTGTCTCCTGGATCGATTGGCGGTCGAGTGGAGCTGGCTGTATGAAAATCGTTTTTTATTTCACCCAAACACGTCTGATGTTGCAGCTGCGCACGCAAAACTTGCGTATCTGACACCTCCAACACCAAAGCATCTGCGGTTTGACGTATAAATCAGCTCCTTGTGTGCTTGCTCGAATCAGCGGAGTAGTGTAGTTTAGCCCAAAGCCATGTTTACAACTTGTCCAGGGACAGGCAGATAGCACAGCTACTGTACTGTTGTTCAATAGCAAAACACAAAACAACGAATCCCTCGCAATAACCCATGCCATCGTCTACACACAGCTCTATACCAGCAGCTTTCACTGAAAAGGGGCCTGCCCGATAAACGATCTGTGCCAAAGACATGCGAGGCAAGATCAGGCAGAACGGAATCGTGCCAACATCGGCCATCGTTTGCTACTGTCACAACAAAGCACTGGTGATGGCAGTAAAGCTGCTGGCTTATTTACTGATATACTGCTAAATGCAAGCTTTACATGTACATTTTCCGCCCATGTGCGCTGTCTGTGTGTGCATAAAACCCAGGCAGGGTCGGCTCAAATTGCATTCTCAGCATGAAAACAAAAAGCAGCAATATTTGCAAGCAACGCTTTTTATTAATTTTGCACACTTATTTATTTACTAGTAAGGCTGCAGGAGTCAGTCTGCTAACGTTTGTTATTACGTCGCTTTCGCTGGTTCCCCCTTACCCTTATTAGAGAATGAGAAACGTGAAAACAAAGTGCCAGAGAGGCGAGTCTGCTCGCATGCTGAATGAGAATATGACCATGTTACAAAAAGAACTCGAGTAGATGTTGCAGCTGGCATTTTGTCTTTTTTTTTGCTGTTGCTGTATCATCGCTTTTCTTTTTATTACCTTCCCAAGCGCTCTGCACTATTATTCTTATTATTGCTCTTCCCGTAGTTGCTGCTGCTGCATAATAGTATGGACAACTTGGGGATTGCATCCTTGCAAAAGAAGAGTCTTGATACCTTTGTTCTCGATAATAGCAAATGCAGCCAAGTCCCTTTCCAGACAATACCCAAGCCCACGCCATCTGCATCCGGGCTGACAAAAAAGAGGCGACGTCCCCCCTATTCCTACACTGCACTGATAGCACAGGCCATATTGGCATCGGATGCTAAGCAGCTGACGCTACGTGAGATATACGATAGCATCAACAGGATGTATCCGCAGATATGCCAAGGCCCGGACATTGGCTGGCAAAACACAATCAGGCACAATCTCAGCCTGAACCAGTGCTTCAAGCGCATCCCCAGACACCAGCTGCCTCCGGATTTGAGCATCAAGCTGCGTGGGAAGGGCAGCTACTGGACCGTTGACGTTGAGCTCATGGATCCAAGCACCAGGAAGCGCCTTGAGGAGGCTATTGAGCTGAACTCCACAGCACCCAACATACAGAGTGCCGGCACCTCCTTTGGCGATGCCAGGGCAGTTAAGCGGCCAAAGTACTCGCAGTCGCTAGATAGCCCAGCCTCGTACAAAGCAAGCCCAGAGGGACAGCAAACGCCGCCGCTCATGCATAGTGCGCATAGCATGCATGTGGCTGCCATGGCTCGTAAGATGCACAGCGGGAGCGGTGTTCCATATATTAGCCCAGTGACGCAGTGCCCGTCTCCGTACTTCCAAAGCTCGCTTAGCTCGCCTATAGTTATGCCAGCCATGCCGCCCAAGCACATTAAAGGGCCGATCGGCGCAAACCATGTACGAAGCACAAACATCGAGCTGCCTCCTCCTCTACCACACCTGCCTTCTGCACAGCAAAGCCCAGCCCAAAGCATTATAAGCACCAGGTCCGATATGCACCAGAGTGACTGCAGTCGCTTTAGATGTACAGGCGGAGATTGCTGCCATAAAGCCAGCCACTCTGTCCCGGCCCCTGTCCCTTATAGCGGCACCAACACGCCCCTGCCATCAATTTGTGGTTCCTGGGAAGATTTTGAAGAAAGGTGCTCGCTTGACAGCAACCACTCATCTGCAATCCCCCGTCCTCTGCCTACACACAACTCATTTGGCGCCGCAGTATCGTGTGCACGCTCAACTGTAAGGCCAGCGCTGCGTCAGGGTAGCAGCAACGGCGGCAGCAGATTCTGCATCCAAAGTGCTGACTTGTTTGAGTACCACCACAACCACCATCACCAGTCTGGCAGCAAGTCCGCGCTATCCTCCACGGACTCGTACCAGTCATCGTCTCGCTCGCTGTCTCCTGCATCGACGGTAGTGAGGTACAAAGAGACACTTGTATCCAACGATCTTGACTCTGAGCAGGAGTCGGCCAAGATATCAATCAACGACCTATTGAACTAGAGCAAAAGATCACCCTCACCATGCTCCTTCACTCTTAATCTTTTTCTCAATAGTCAACACATTTCATGTCTAGTGCTCGAACAATAAAACACAGAAATCGACAAGTATAGTGTCTTTTTAGATGCTTAACACCAGAGGCTTGAATTGAAATCGCTAAAGGGCTGCTAGAAGAGGGGGAGTGTCTCGGCCTGAGGATGCATATCATACAGGTAAGTCAGCGAGCGGAGATGGTCGGCATGTGGGCCAAATGCTGGGTTAGATGTGACATCTCTTAGGCACTCCTGCCATCCATCGTCTGCAAGATCTGGCACAACTACGAACCTTAA